ACCACGTCCATTTAGTTCGAATTCAATAATTTCTGCTATATCTTGAACATTAGAGTGACATTTTCTTCGTCGTAAGCCCATATTTTGTAGGATTCGTTTGAGCTGACGTAGCGAGATGTGCACTCCATGAAGTTGCAAGAATTCCAAAATCTCTCGGTACCGAAGTCCAAGTTCGAAATACCTTTTAATTAGAGAATTACGATCACTGTTATTTTGACTTAAAAAAGGGTGATAAGCAGATGCTGACGGCAGGCTCATTGGACTACAATAGGAAACTATATTACACTATATAAAGCCCTTCTGACAGCCATAGAATGAGCCTGCTATCAAAGTATTTGTGAGCAGCGGTTGAGAATTTTAGAAAACCCCTGTGCGTTTAGAAAAAACCCTGCGCATTTAAGACAAAACCCTGGGCCTTTTAAGGAATAACTCTGGGCTTTAATTAGGAAAAACCCTGGGCCTATATGGCAAAACCTCTGGGCCTTTATAAAAAAAACCTGGGCCTTTATGGTAAAACCTCTGGGCCTTTATGGAAGAACCCTATAGGATTTTATAGAAAAAAACGGGATTTTAGGAAAAACCTTGGGCGTTTTATAGGAATGACTCTGGGCTTTAATTAGTAAAAACCCTGGGCTTTTGGAAAAACCCTGCGCCTATATAGCAAAATCCCTGGGCCTTTATAGAAAAACCCTGGGCCTTTATAGAAAAACCTCTGGGCCTTTATAGAAAAACCCTGGGCCTTTATGGAAAACCCTGGGCCTTTATGGAAGAACTCTGGTCATTTAGGAAAAACCTTGTGCATTTAGAAGAAAAAAACCTGAGCCTTTATAAAAAAAGCTGATTTTATAGAAAAACATATGGAGTTCAGAAAAGAAACCCTGATATCTACAAAAATCTGAGTGTCCCCTATGGGCCACCGTATATACAAGATAGTAAATTTTAATCTTTCAGCATTCAGTATTGCTTACAGTGTTTATATTTTGTAACATCAACAGAAGCTGTCTCAATATATAACTTAATAGTTGATTTTAAATGAAGGAAAGGATATGATATGAAAATGAATTTGTAATACAATGTAGTTATTGATTTGTTCTGCTTTAGCTATATAATTCAAGGTTCAAAGTGGCAGATGGAGAAGGTGCAGAAAGCATCAAGTCACTGACGAGGAAGATGGTGAGGGTGACGATGAAGGGAAGTGGGTGGTGAGGCCTCCAGCATGGCGATCACGAGAGGCATCAGATCTCATGCAGAGGCTTCAGGCCAAGGTTGATAGATTGAACAAAAGACCTAAAGTGTTCAGAGTCCGAGGAGACAACTCCAATAGAGGAAGACCAAGTGCCACTACAACTTGGGCTGTCAGACGTGTTGCATCAACACCAACAAAGTCACCAGCAATATCACGGTAAATAATTTTATTTCCTTTTTTATTTAGTATACTGAGCATTTTGTTAAGGTTGTTAGAAGGGAGAGAAATTTACAAAATGATAATAGTTTTACACACAGTAAACGTTTTTTTTTCTTTAATCTTAATTTTAGAAGTGCATCAACACCAACAAGGTCACAAGTACCATCAAGGCATCTAAAGCAGTCATAAGCATTAAGTATACTGTGGGTGGTTAAAAATTAGGTGTTACAAGGGAGTTTGCAAAATACTTTTTAAAATTTATCTGGACCATCAAGGTAAAACATTCATGAAAAAGTATTTTAGTATCCTGGCTGTTCGGTTGTAGAGAGGCATATTTGCAATGTATCTCTTTAAAAATCCTTTAACGTCATAAAAATTTTGGCCAATCAAGATCAGCAGCAGTAACATCAAGAAGGTATTCAAAACATTCATAAGCAATTTAATATACTGCTTAATTAAGAAAGATATTTGCACATTGACAACACCCTACCTGGCCAATCAGCACACAAGTGTGCTAAAATGAA